CCCGCGCCGGCGATCACGTGATCCGCGCTGGCGGTCACGTGGTGGCCGGCCCGGGTCACGTGTCGGTGACGGCGGCCGCCGAGGCCGGGCGCGCGCGAGGCCTCCTGGGAGCTGTAGTCCGCGCTTCTGCCCGGCCCAGGCCCGGGGGACGAGGCGACCTCTCCCGGGGCCTGTCCTGCGATCCCCGCGCGGCCGGCCGCGGACTCGCGGCAGGCCACGGCCCCGGGGTTGTAACCGCCGAGCCCCGAGGCCGAGGGACCCCCAGGCGACCCGAGGGGCACCGCGGGAAGGACGCCCGCCCGCCCTGGGCGACACCCAGCCCCACCGACCCGCAGCCCGGCGCCTCGCTCCTGAGGAGGCCCGGGCCCGAGGCGCGAGGTTCAAGGCCAGCCCAGGAGGCCGGGGCCCGAGGCGCGAGGTTCAAGGCCAGCCCAGGAGCCCGGGGCCCGAGGCGCGAGGTTCAAGGCCGGCCCGAGGCGCGAGGTTCAAGGCCAGCCCAGGAGGCCGGGGTCCGAGGCGCGAGGTTCAAGGCCAGCCCAGGAGGCCGAGGTCCGAGGCGCGAGGTTCAAGGCCAGCCCAGGAGGCCGGGGTCCGAGGCGCGAGGTTCAAGGCCGGCCCAGGAGGCCGAGGTCCGAGGCGCGAGGTTCAAGGCCAGCCCAGGAGGCCCGGGTCCGAGGCGCGAGGTTCAAGGCCAGCCCAGGAGGCCGAGGTCCGAGGCGCGAGGTTCAAGGCCAGCCCAGGAGGCCGGGGTCCGAGGCGCGAGGTTCAAGGCCAGCCCAGGAGGCCCGGGTCCGAGGCGCGAGGTTCAAGGCCAGCCCAGGAGGCCCGGGTCCGAGGCGCGAGGTTCAAGGCCAGCCCAGGAGGCCGAGGTCCGAGGCGCGAGGTTCAAGGCCAGCCCAGGAGCCCGGGGTCCGAGGCGCGAGGTTCAGGGCCGGCCCAGGAGCCCGGGGTCCGAGGCGCGAGGTTCAAGGCCGGCCCAGGAGGCCGAGGTCCGAGGCGCGAGGTTCAAGGCCAGCCCAGGAGGCCGGGGTCCGAGGCGCGAGGTTCAAGGCCGGCCCAGGAGGCCGAGGTCCGAGGCGCGAGGTTCAAGGCCGGCCCAGGAGGCCGAGGTCCGAGGCGCGAGGTTCAAGGCCGGCCCAGGAGCCCGGGGTCCGAGGCGCGAGGTTCAAGGCCGGCCCAGGAGCCCGGGGTCCGAGGCGCAAGGTTCAAGGCCGGCCCAGGAGGCCCGGGCCCGAGGCGCGAGGTTCAAGGCCGGCCCAGGAGCCCAGGGTCCGAGGCGCGAGGTTCAGGGCCGGCCCAGGAGGCTGAGGTCCCATAAGCAAGGTTTAAGGCCAGTCCGGGCAGGAAGAGGCCCCGCGAGACAGTCTGGCAGCATTTTATAAGTTCAAAACTTTCCACATCAAAAATTTCAACATTTCACAATTTCTGAGCACCTGACGCTCTGTAGAGAGCAAAGCCTCCTCCCCAGACCCCACCAAGAATAAAACCAAAGATAACACAGACTAGGAAGTTCAGCAGGGTTTCAGTTTCCACCCTGCAGTGCTTGGTGTGCCAGACCAAGAACAACATTCTTTCACAAAAGCTTGCTTTGGGGCAAGGGTGCAGTCCAGTCCCCTCCGAGGGACTGGACAAGGACTTTGCCAAGCCCCTCCACCCCTCTTTCTGCTCTGAGTCCCAGGGTTGAAAAAGGCAGGGTGCCTGGCTTGCTTAAAGGTCTCTAGGAGCAGGCAAAGAGTTGCACTGTGCGTTGAACGTTGGTCAGTTTGGTTTCAAAACTCTTGAGGCAAGTGCTCCACTGCTGGAGTTACCGTCTCCATGGCCACCAGGGTGGAGTCATTTCCTAAAGATGGCTCCATTGGCTCCTAGGGACCAGAGGCCTCAACTTGTTGTCCACCCCCTCCCCCCTGCAATCTGAGGTGCTGGGGATTGGAACCCAGGGCCTCATGTCAGGCAGATGCCGGGGTGGAGAGAGGCAAAGGCAGCCCAGGCTCCTTGTGAGGAACCACCCGCTCACTAGAAGGCTGCTCCAGCTCATTTTGTTTTCCTTATCTGGGAACGGAACAAACTGGTTAACGGAAAACGTTGGTGGTGTCAGAGGGGAAGGTGGATCATACTTCAGAATGTACACATGACCGTGTTGCTCTCTCCAGTGGGATGGTGAGTCACTCGATGGACACATTCACACTGTCTGGCTCCCAACCCGGCCTGCTTCCCATGGCTGCCTGTCCCAAATCCCCACCCATCTCGGCCTCCTACTGTATTTCTGGATGCTGCCCAGGCCCCTCCCTGACCCCCATCCAAGCCCTCACTCCAGTGTTCCACCCCAAAGCACCCCATACAGTAGCCACAGCTGTACTAATTGATGCCGGTATCTGCTGAACTCTTGACACTTCACAGTCTGTGGACACAGAGGCAAATGCTGCTGGGACCTCTGTAGTGTCCTGGTGCCCTCTCCCTGTCCATTGTGGCCACCTACCTGAACATAGGGAGGTGGTGGAAGCAACGCCCTGCTCAGGCTTTCCTTGTCTTGGATCTGAACCCCTGGGGTGGGTAGAAGGAACTCACATTGCTTTTATTTCTTACCTAAGACTGAGATGAAGAATTCTACAACTAGGGCTGGGAAGGTGGCTCGAGGTAGAGCGCTTGCCTTGCATACATGAGCCCCTGGGTCCCATTCCTCAGCACCACATAAACTAAACAGAAAAGGCCAGAAGTAGCGCTGTGGATCAAGTGGTAGAGCGCTAGCCTTGAGCTGAAGAGCTGAGGGACAGCGCCCAGGCCATGAGTTTAAGCTCCACGACCGACAAAAAAAAAAACTGCAACTAAACCACCAGAGATCAACTCCTGCCTGCTTCTATGCAGGGGACCTGGCATTCCTCCAGGAATACTAAGCAGCTCACCAGCCTTTCCAAAAGAAAGGTGACACTTTGCTCCCTCTTCAAATGCAGAATGAGAAGAAGCAAAAGAATTCCAGAAATCACTGGAGGAGGTGAAGAGGAGAAAAAGATTGAGAAGGAGGGGCTCTCAGCCCTGAGTGTATAATCATAGGAGTCTGAGTCCAGCCTGAGCAGCATGGAGAGACCCTGTCTCACACACAAAGGCAGGCAGAGATAGATGGCTGTCCACCGAGTTCCATGGTCCTGGGAAAGGGAAAGCGTGCACACAGCATACCTCCACAACTGTGACTCAGGACCTGCCAGCGTAGGGCGGCCAGCTGGACTTGAGCTGAAGTCCTGGAGCACGGGTCCATGGGAGATGGGAGACATGCTGGTGAGAGGCTGAAGGGACTCATTGAGGTCTGCCGCCGGTGCAGCTGGGTATGGCTGTCATACCAGCTGGCTGCCTCCTTGTGGGTAAGGAGAGGCAGGCATTGGTCTAACCTCTGCAGAGCCGGTGCCACCTGCATAGGAGGCCTGGGCCCGGCTCTGCTAGTGTGAGGCAGAGGCCTGCCCCAGTCTACTCTCTTGCTTTCAAGATGGGAGTGGGCAATGTGTGAGTTCTGGGAACCAGGCCTGTTCCCTGCCTCAAGCCCCACAGGACTCCAAGAGTACCCTTTGGCCAAAGGCAAAACCGCCCATGGCTCCCGCTGCCTCCAACGGGTCATAGCGTTGGGGTCTTGCCTTTGGCTGCTCTTTGCGAATCTGAGGGTCAATTTTTTTTTCAATTACATTTAACGTACCTTTTCTAATTGCCAATGCATGTATTTTTTAGCTTGTCACAATATGGAATTCTTTTTTTTTTTTCTTTTGGGTCCTGTCATGGGGCCTGAACTCGGCCTGGGCGCTGTACCTCTGCTCTTCAGCTCAAGGCTAGTGCTCTACCACTTGAGCCACAGCGCCACTTCCGGCTTTTTTCTTTTTGCTTATGTGGTGCTGAGGAATGGAACCCAGGGCCTCATGCATGCAAGGCAAGCGCTCTACCACTGAGCCACCTTCCCAGCCCTGGAATTCTTTTTTTTAAAAAGATGATCAAAAGACACAATACTAAGTGATGTTGAAAAATGAAACATTTGCCAGGCATAGTGGAATATGTTATAATTCTAGGACTCAGGAGACAGAGGCAGGTGCAGCACAAGTTCAAGGACAGCCTGGACTACAAAAAAAAAAAAAAATCACAAGCCAGGAACAGGTTGTTCACACCTATAATCCTAGCTACTCAGGAGGCTGAGATCTGAGGATCGCAGTTCAAAGCCAGACTGAACAGAAAAGTCCATGAGATTCTTATCTCCAATAAACCATCAGAAAACCAGGAGTGGCGCTATGGCTCAAGTGGCAGAGTGCTCACATTGAGCTGAAGCGCTCAGGGACAGTGCCTAAGCCCAGAGTTCAAGCCCCACGACCAAATTGTGTGTGTGTGTGTGTGTGTGTGTGTGTGTGTGTGTATAATTCATCCACAAAAAGAATGAGATGCAAACATCCTACAGCATGCGGAATGTGGAAGACGTTATGCTGAGACTAGAGACACATGCCTGTCATCCTAGCTGTTTAGAAGGCTGAGATCTGAGGATTGCGGTTCAAAGCCAGTCCAGGCAGGAAAGTCTGTGAGAAAGCTGGAAATGGAACTGTGGCTTCAGTGGTAGAGCACTAGCCTTGAGCAAAAAATAGCTCAGGGAGAGTGCCCTGAGTTCAAGCCTGGGACCAACACACACACACACACACACACACACACACACACACACACACACAAAACATCCAGAAAAGGCAGACCCACAGGTAGATCTGGGGTGCCCAGGGCTAGGGGGGGGTATGACTGAAATTCTCTAGGACCAGATGGTGGTGATGTGGCTGGGCAGGTCAGCACATTTACAAAAACCTTTGAACTGTGGACTAGAAAAGCCCATTTATAGCATGAAAATTACACCTCATGAAGCTGATTTCAAAGCATTGCCTGTCTGTCTTTAATGGCAGCCCTGGCAGCCCCACCACCACAGCATGACAGTACAGGTCTGACCGGCTGCCCGCCAGGGTGCTGGAAAAAGGAAACCTCCCAGGCCCTCTCCG